GGTCCTGGCGCCGCCGACCCCTGCGGCTCGCGAGCGCGCGTGGGCCGAGCTCGGTCCCAGCCGGGAGCCTGCAAGGTGCATCTGCCCTGCCCGGGCCGGGGCTGGGCGGGCTCCCACCTCCCCAGGAGGTGGCGGCGCAGGCGGAGGGAAAAGACGTCGCTTTCCTCGGGGGCTTGGGAAGGTGCGGCCCATCCTTGGAGGGTCCTTGGAGGCTGCCGGCCCTCTGCGAGCCGGCGTGCTGGTTTCAGCCCAGGTGGGAGCTGCTCTGAAACCGTAAAGCTGCCCCGGCGCAGACGGGACCTCTCGTGTTTGTGCCGGGAGCGCTCGGCTCTTGTGCCCCGAGCCGGTGGCGCTCAGCCAGGGTGCCACGGCCCCTGTTGATGCCTCGGGATCCTTTCGAGGGTGCCGCGCCACGCGAGCCCGGCCCTGTGTGCGGACGTGATTCACGAGATAACCCCAGGGATTTCCACCAGGCCTGCACAGGGTTAAAGGCATTTTTTGGACCTGTTGAGGGTTTTCGGAGGTCTTTGCAACAGGAGAGTCTCTCTTGGCTCCCCCAAGTGACAGCAAAGAGCTGGCGTTTTCCAAGGGGGGTCCTCGAGTCTGGAAAGGCTGAGAACCGATGTCTGGAGCAGATGGGTCCTGTTCTGCGCCACTTCCTTTCTGGCGGGCTCAGCTATTTGTAGGCAGGCCGTGCGGATAGCGTCCTTCCCCCTCCTGCTCTTGGTGAGCGTGCTCCATCTAGCTGCCGGCCGAATTCTGCAAGCCTCTCTTCCCCGGTGCCATAGGCGCAGTCCCATGGCGCGGTAAGTGCTGCCCTGCAGAAGCGAGGACATCTCCGCTGTAGTCGCTTCTGCGACAGCAGCTCCTGGATGCCCGCCTGCGTCGGCTTCCCAGCCGGGTGGCTCGGGCACAGAGAGCGGCTGGCAGCGTAACCGGCTGAGCGCGTTGAGCGCGGAGCCCGCGCTGAGCTCGGGGCCCGAGCGTGCAAGGTGAGAGCTGGCCTCGGCGATGTCTGCGAGCTGCTGCAGGAGTTCCCTGATGGGGGCAGAACAAGAGCTCGGAGGGGCTCTGTCGACAAATTGCTAGAGGTTCTGGTTCGAGCCAGAGTGATCCCTGCGGTCGCCTTTGTCTGCACCTGCTCTGTTTGTGCGAGATAAAGCAAAGGTCCTGTACGCTTGGCTGCTCCTGTTTGCCCTGGCGCTGGGCGCTGCTCTGAAGCAGGGGAGGCTGTGCAGTGCGGAGGTGTGAAAGCAGCACGGCATGACTGCCCCAGATGGGCACTGCAGACCTCCCATCCAGCACGTGTGAAAGAACAAGACAAAGCTTGAGGTTTTGGGGCTTGTTTTTCTTGCTCTATCAAGGGAAAGGTGCAGAAATCAGCCCTGCTGCAAAGTGCCAACGAGATGGCCCTGATGGGCTGGAGCTGCAGCCATGGCAGCCGGTGCAAGCTTCCCCCAGGCCACTTGTGTCAGGTCGGATGGGACGGCTGCGCGGGTCCTGCGTGCCCGAGTCCGTCCTCGGTCGAACGTGTCGGAGGGGATGGATTTTGGGCTGCAGGAGGGGCTGTCATGCTTGTAAGGGCAAGGATGGAGCAGTGCTGCGTGTTCGTTGCAGAGTGGCTGCAAGGCACTGCTGATTTGCAAGGTCCTGGAGGTTTTGGTAGCCCAGGGTTTCTCTGCAGGGGAATCGCAGCCCCCGAGTTCGAGTCCAGAAGAAGCATCTGTGAGCAGAGCCGTATCATAGCCTGTGCTTAGGGAGTGACCCTGGAGGGAGGCTCCAGCGCCTGCGCTGCCTTGGTGCTGCTACGCTGTGCCCTAAAGTCTCGTAACCCCGCAGCTTCTGCTTGCATCTCTACCCCCATGCTAAGAGCTCTTCTCTGGGTCTCGCCTACAGAGTCCTGTCCGTCTTAATGGCCAAGGGCTGCTGGAAAGGGCCGAACCAGCCAACGGGCGGCTGAGGCACCTGACGGACCCGTTGGTGCTGAACGGCAGGAAGGTGGAGGAGCGCCAGGGGCCGCCCGCCGCGGCTCCCAGCCTGCTGGAGGGGTCGGACAAGGAGGCAGTGCTGCGGCTCCTTGGCTTGGACTTGGAGCAGAGCCCTCCGCCTCAATCTGCCTACATCCCGGTGCCCAGACAAAGGTAGGGACCTGGCGGTGCGGGTGGGGGGCACGGTGTCTGCCTCCCTGTGCAGGGGGATGTGGAAATGGCACGGCCTGCCCGTGGCAGAGCAGAGCTAGGCAAGGCACGTCTAGCAGGTGTGTCCTGGGGGAGCCGGGAACCTGCCTTCCTGGAGGGGCTGTATGCAGGGCGTCAAAGCCACCCTGTCTTCCCCGTCCCGGGGCTGGGTGCTGCCACAGGTGGAGGCATCAGTAGCTGTGCATGGGTGCACATGAGCGCCCTGATGTCCGTGGGGCTCCAGGACTGCGCATGTCCCCTTACATCCTGCACTTCTGCCAGCAGACAGCTGCTCCCCTGCCTGGAGGTTTCAGTCTGGCCTGGGCTAGGGGGGGCGGCTGCTGGCTGCGCTTGCCGGGCTCTCTGTCAGGTATGCAGCGCACTGACATGTCACTTAACTGCACACAGCTCCTGTAGTGGGGAAACACCAGGCTAAAAATAAACCTAATTGGGAGGCAATTATGTGCTGGTAATCTTCTTGGATTACAGGAGGGAGGCTGTGTTCTGCCTGAGTTTAGAAAGGCTCAGTAGGAGAAGGAAATGACGTTCTCCCTTGGGCTGGGAGCTGCCACCAAGGTAGATCAGTGTCTGCTGGTGACGGCAGAGCAGGCCAGATGTTGCTTCTCTGACCTAGAGACCGTGCTAGAGCCACTTGTCAGGGTTGGGGGCGGTAAGTGCCACTGAAGGCTTCAGGCCACGAGGGGGAAGGAAGGAAGGGGGAGAGTTGGCTCCAGGACCTGGAGGCATGAACCGAGAGCGTGGAATCTGCACGTGAAACTGGACCCGTTCTGGGTGTTGGGTCTGCCGTGCTCTGCTCTTCCGGGAACAGAGGCCACTGCCAGAGACAAGGCTCCCACCTCCAGGGGCATGGTAGACCTGTGTCCTCTCGAAGGAGATCCGGAAGGGCTGGGCACGTGGTTACTTCCCGGCCCTCTTCCCCGTGGCGGCTGACCGTGGTACACTTGGCAAGTCGAGAGCCCACAGCTCATCGTCGCCGTCTCGTAGAGCTGTGTCGATGCACCGTTTCGCTCGCCTCTGTGGGTCTGACAACGGGGCCTTTGTGCAGCTTGGTGCTGTGCTGGATGCGTGGCACGGGGAGTCCAGCAGCTGCCTTGGCAATAGTAGATGGTGGGGGGCTTGAAGCCTGAAGAACGGCTGCAGAAGCTGTCTCCTTGGCGTGGTGATGGCATCAGCTGCTGGCACCAGCCTCCTGCCGTGTTCCCACCTGCTCACTGCCTTACCTCCTTGCTTTTGGTCGTGTGTTCCCCACTGGCAGCCTTGCGCTGGGCTGAGCTCCTTGCTGGCTGCCACGGGGTGCAGTTTCCCGGCCTCTCTCGAGCTGTAGGCAAGTGGCTTTTCCAGTCTAGTTTGCCCAGGCAGAGGAACAAGAGTGCGTCGGGAGAGCCTGGATGCGCTCCACGAGGGTTGGTGCGCTTGGGGAAGGGGGGGACAGCGGTCTGGCATCGGGCATGGGCAGAGCCGGAGGGGATGGAGCAAAAGGGGCAGGCCAGGCCTGTCGCTGGATCTGCCTGTCTGCTGCTTGGCCCAATGGGACTACCTGGTGCCTTCCCACGAGGCGAACAGGCGTCGTCTGCGGAGCTGCCGGGTTGTAAATCACATTTGCAAGTTCTGAAACCAATCCAGAAGATGGTGATGGGGGGTGTGGGGGGAGCTTGTTTTTCACAACAGCTGCTTGGCGCACACTGCCCAGACTTGGTTTTCAGAGTTTTATTTAGTTGGCCCTGTAATGGAGGCCTTGGCACCCCTGCCAGCCTGCTTTGGACAATAGCAAGCTTGTTGCTGCCAGGGCCTGCCCCAGTCAGGCATGGAAAAATCCAGTTCACTTTTCCCTTTTCCCCCAGTTGATTTCAGATATGTCGAAAAAATCATGTCCCGCTTTCTCTTGCTGGCGGCAAGTGATTTAGCTCTTTGCAGAAGTGTCGCTCCGGTGTCGAGTGAACGGCGTTGTACCTGGCGGGGGGGGTCTGTAATCCTCCACGGGGATATCCTAGACTGGAGTTGGGTGCTGAGCATGAGGGGCCGCTGGATGTACGAAAATGGTGACAGCCTGGGCTTACTGCTGCCGCCCTGCTCTGGAGCTGCGCGGAGTCGCTGGCTGGTGCTTGCAGTAACGGTTGGACTTGCATACCTCCTGGACCGAAATAACTGCGCCTGACGTCCCAGGGAGGAGGGGTGGCCTCGGGCCCACAATAGCCTGGGTGTTCTGGGTAGCAGAAGCCTCCAAGGGGGGTTGGGGGGGGTGAGGGACACACGCTGGTGTTGAAGTTGGGCCTGGGAAAGCTTGGATCGCCTGACGTCCAGCAGGATTTATCCCGATGGAGACAGAGCTGCTCTTAAATTTCCAGGTGTCACTTTGTGACTGCCCCTTTCAACCCAAAACTGTCAGCCCCATCTCCTTCCTCTGGCAGCGTCCCATGTCTCTTCCTGAGGCCAGGACGCGTGTTGTGATTTTTTTTTTTTTAATAAGAAAATGTCTGTGGGGCAGGACAGGACAAAGCATGTTTTTTTGGTGGGTTTTTTTAAGAAACAAGCAGGCGAGGCCCCCTGAGGCTGTTCCCCCAAGGCAGAAGCCTGGTACCAGTTTTTTCTGGCGTGAGCTCCAGACGCATCCTGTTGTTTTGTGTAATTTTGGAGAAGATCCATGATGCAGTTGTAACGACAGAGCTTGGGAGGCGAGACCTGCCCACGGATGGGACTTTTCGGCGTGACCTGGAAGGCTTAAATTTAGACTGCCCAGTCTGACCGTACCCAGACCTCCAGCGTGTCCTGTCTGGTGCCAGAGGTGACCCTAGAAGTAGCAGGAAGCATCTAGATCAGGACCCTGTAGAAGAGAAGCCCATTTTCTTGGCCAGCACCTGCATCTGAAGTGACCCACCTGTCCGTGACTGCTTGCTGGGAACTGCCCCCACCTCGTTCTCGCACCAGCCCTTGCAAGAGCTAACGATGCCAGAAGATGAAGCAGAAATGCCAACTCCT